TACTACTCAAGCTCAGAAGCTGACAAATGAGTAACCTCAAAGATTACTCATAAGTCACTCTCCCATACTTAGTAGGAATTCAAAAAGGTATGAGGAGTCCGCCTGTCCAAAGGCAAACAAAAGCTCTCGTACTAGGACCCCTACTAAGATGATTTCCTTTCACACCAAACATGTTTGAAAATCTGGTTCGTAGGTCGACTGTTTTTTGGCAAATAGGGACTCACGAACTATTCTTATTTAACCAAACAGGCGGGCTGGTTAAAAGCGACCTGTTCCGTTCTAACTTAAAAAAGTAAAAACAAACCTAACGTGTTTCCTAAAATACGTTGGGGATCCGACTGGGTAAATGGCCGACTGATTGCCTAACCTGGAACCGAGATAACCAGTCGTTCAGGGGCATAGGCAGTCGGTACCTAGTACCTGTTCGCAATTTTTGCCTTATAAACTTTGAAACATTTTTTAGCCAAAACAGTCGATATGACATGCAAGCGGATAGTAAGGATCCTCTACACTTAGCAAAAACAAAGCATGAACAATATTCAATGAAAAAAGACGACCGAAAGATGGTCGCCACATTCATATAAGCGGGCCATAAAGACCGGAAAAATATTCAAACCCCGGCCCCTTGGCCATGTAAAGTGATACAAGAACAAACAGCATGCAAGCCGGAGAAAAGTTTGAAAAAATGAAAGCTTTAAGCATTGGGAGGGGCTTTGGTGTTAACTGCTACCTGATCAAGCTCAACGATGGACGCTTGATTCTTCAAAGCATCCTCTTTCGTTGTCTCGTCTTCAGGGGCAGGGGCTTTATGCGCATCCATCTCAATCGGCTGCAGAGCCACCACCTCTTCCTCCTCTTCTGAGCTGGAGCTGGCCGCCTCTTCTACCTTCTCGTCATCAGCAGCCGCCTGCTCCATGATCCTTCGATTGTACTCTTCAATACAAGCATTGAACTTTTTATCCCAGGCGGCATAGCTGGCTTTTGGGAAGAGGGCTGTCCAAGTCATCTTCATGATCTGAGCCGAGTCATCCATCATGGCCTGAACCAGAGCCAGCTTCTCAGTCTCGGCCTTCGCCTTAAGATCTTGGGTGATTGCCGCCTCCTGCTTCACCAAGCGGTCCTTGACGCTCTCCAAGGATTTCTGAAGAGATTCATATTGGAGCGCCATATTTTTGACAGTCGTCTCCAGCTCATTATTCTTCTTTTTGGCCGCCTCCAACTCGGTCCGGACAGTCGAAGTGGCCTGCGCCTGATAATAAAGAATATCAGTTGTCAAAATTTCATTTTGGGCAATTTGAAACATTGCCTTATCAACGTCAGAGGCGACCATAGCTTTAGCAGCCTTTACCTCTTTGTTCTTGGCGCTGATCGGCCTTCGGAGGTCGTGTACTCGCAGCATGGTTTGAAAAAGGGAAAACAGGCATCAGCTTTGAAAATAGCAGGCAGCACGCAAAGTCAACATTTTAAAAAAAAAATATTCTAAGTCTACCTCGGAAAGGAGACCCATGATGCTGTCTAGGTCAAGGGTGCTGACTCCCTTGACCGCATCCCTCTCCTCTTGAGGGACGACCTTAATCATAGACTTGGCCATTTGGACCAAGTCTGGTTCTTGAGGGTCGCTTGCATTCAGAAAAGAGAAACATCAAAGACATGAAGAAAGCAGGGAAGAAATAAGTTAAGTCTAGTAGAGCAGTTTATACTTCTTGGCGGCCGACTGTCCTTAATGACCTGTGATGGTTTACCCACACTTTATGGGGTGATTGGCTGTTTGTCAGCCGACTGCTTCCTGGCAGATCCAGGCGTACTCCCAACAGTCGTCTTCCAAACTTTTGAGTCCGGCTGTTGGGAGGAAGAGGGTTTGGAAGTGCCCGCCTGCGAAAAAAATGTATGGTCAATACTGATAAAAGCAGGTTTTCAAGACAAGTTCGAAGTCTCGGAGCTTACTATGGGCGACTTCTTGGCAGGAGAATCAGAAGAGGTCCGCTTCTGATGCATGATGGAGGTCTGCAGTAAGGCGGCCGCCTTCTTAGATGCAGAAATGTGGTTCATAGCTTCAACTGAAAAATGAGCACCACAAAGAGTTAGAGAAAATTTGAAAACAAAGCCAAAGATGTGTGCATATGCTCAAGAGGTCGACTACCTCTGGAGGACAGACTGCTAAGGCCGCAGGCGGCCAGAAAATACTCGTCAAAGAGCCATTGAAACTCTAGGACGCAGTTTAGGGGCATTTGCTCTCGTACCGCAGTAGTTGAGTTTGCCCTAATCTCTACTTTGAAGAGTCCTCGGTCAAGGATCTCTTCCCTAGTTTTGCGGGGAACAAGCGGCATGCTGCGACCGCCTACTAGAAGTGGCAGATCCTTGTTCCACCTATTGTAGCGCTTGTTTGGAAGCTTGTCAGGGCTGGCAATGATGAGGAAGGTGTTTCTCCAATCCTTCCATTTATTTCCTTTGCCCCTCGTCATCATATAGCCTTTGTGGCTAGTTATTTGGTACCAGCCGGTACCGCTTGCTTTGGGGGTCCGGCTAAGATAGTTCATATGGGTGAACGCCTCAAATTCGGCTCCACCCCATGCATTTCACATCCGACTACATAGCCAAGGATGTTGAACCAGGAATTCGGGGCTAACTGCCATAGCCCCACCTCGTATCCATCGAGGATTTGTTAAACAACCGGATGCAAGGGAAATCGAAGCCCAGCCTTAATGGCCACCTCGTAGCAGCCAAAACAGGCGTCACCGTAGCTTGTTCCCGCGGGCCAGACGACTATATCCTCACCATCCGGCACAAATACTTGAAAATCAGGACCCATCACATGGTCCGATAAAAAAGAGTCTATTCGTTCTTTCATGGCCTTGATCCGACCCTTTGGGACATGACAGTACTAAGGAGTATTCAACTCCCTATGAGAGGCGGATGGTTTCGACCAGTCGTTCCCCTTTTCAGCCGCATGAGAAAGTCTCGCCTCATGTAAACGAGAATGGCTTTCCTCTGAGTTTATAGAGAGGCAGCTTGAAGAGCTAGAGTCAGACTCACTATCAGAAGAGTCCGACTCCTCCCCTCTCCCTGAGGGGGCCGACCCCTCTTCTTCTTCAGGGGCTGTCTGCTGACTGGCCAGGTCAACAGTGAAGTGGGAAGGGGCTACCTTAACTCCCTCCTCATAGCTCTCGGCAGAAGGGCCACCTTGGGTCCCTGCGGTATCAGGCGGCTGGTCAGACAGGTCACTAATCTGAACCCGGAAAGAGGAGCCATCAGAGTTTTCAATCCTCTTGGTCTTTTTTGTTCTTGCCATATTGTCCTGCATGGATACAAAGACAGTTGGATTCCGGGACTTGCGCAAAGTTTGAAGTACCGCAGGGCAGTCGGCACCCCTAGTCCTAGACTCAACAGTCCCCGGTGACCGGCTGATTGCTAGCCTCGGTCGTGCCGGATGCTTTTGAGGTCTCATTTTCAAAAAAGAAAGAAAAAGTGCAAAAGCAAAACAGAAAAAGGATAAAGGAACAGACGAATACCTGAAACTTAAATTCTGAAAGAAAGCTTGATCGAACAGGCATCCAACAAAAACAGGCGAATGGTAAAAGCAGTCGTCCAGAAAGTCAGAGCTCAAGTTCAGGGGTCCGAGAGTTCTCTTGAAAAAGTTCGCAAAAGTCAACAAAAGACTTGGTCAACATGCCCTTATATAGGGTAAATGATAATGCAAAGGGTCACCTCTTAATTCAAAAAATGAGCGGGAAAAACGTTCGGCCCATTGCAGGACGCCACTTGTAGCAGGTCGTCGCCTGTTACAGGCCGAAACCTGTCACAGCTGACATGTGACCAGTCACGTGACACCTGTGAGGGGCAAATGATTAGGGAATTTTCCCCAGCCAATCATCATCTGACACGTGGACCATTCAGGTCCTGCCATGTGTCCGCCACATGGACCAGTTGGAGCCTGCCACGTGTCAAGCGACGATTAGTCCAACTTGGACCAGTTGCGCCAAGCCATGTGGCCTTCCCAATGCCAAATGGGCAGAAACGGCCACCTTGGCCCAGTCTTCGGAAAAAGCCCAATCAGCCCTAGGTTGACCTAAACCTAGGACTGGCACGCTTCCCAAGGCATATAAATACCCTCATTAATCCTCATTAAAGGGGATTAAGCAATTAATTACACTCACCTAGAGAGTAAAAACACTTAGATCACTCCTCACCTAGAGGAACCAGATCTCCCAACTTTTACTTTTTCGTACTATTCACTCCTCAAACAAGTACTAACTTGATCGTCGGAGGCGGAACTCCCACCACAAGGAGTCTCCGTTGTTTTGCAGGTATAGGCGCAAGGATACCAGTCCCGAAAATGTAACTCTCCCGCAGGACATCAGAAAACCCCGAAACAGGTTTCTTTCATCAAAGTTACGAATGTAGAATTATCTTGTACTGTTGTACATGCATCGCTCACACACATCGCTAGAGTATACAACTTAATATTTCGAAAACACGGTCAAACAATTTGTTGCACCCGTAACAATGATTTCATCAGATTCATTTGAACATGACATATTTGAAAATTTGAACACCCTGTCTTTCCGTTTCTCTTATCTGTAGTATAATTTACCTGTGAAGAAATTAAATTACAAAAAAAAATGGTTTTATATTAACAATTAATAATCAATTTAAAAAAACGGATGAAGTAAGATTAGTTAAAATCAATTACTTTATCCCGTTTATGTTTTATGAATTGCATTTCCTTTGCTAAAAGTTTCTCAAACCTTTATGTATTTTACTCCAATGTTTTAATCACTATTTTAAAACTTTCTTGAATTTTATTTTTGGTTCTCTTTTAAAACTCCCTTAAATTTTCTTGGATGTTTTTTCGTTTGCTCAATTCATTCGATTTTTTCAAATTCTTTCAAATGTTTACCTTTATTGATATCTTTGGGTTACTTATGTAATTGTATAACTCTCATAATTTTCCTATACATATGAGTGTCAGGGCTCTCTAGTTGGATGAGCCACCATTTATTCTTCACATGGTATCAAGGCCAGTTATTTTTTTCTCCAAAAACCCTAACCCTATTTTCTTCGTATTTCCCACGCAACATCTTCTTCACCGACTACTTCTATTGTCGTTGTCCTCGACACCAGTCAACCACCCCAGACCACCACGATCTCGTCTTCTTTGGCCGTCATTGTGTCTCGATTACCTCCATTGACTGGATTCCTTTTGTCTGGTGAATAATTGACTGGATTCCTTTTGTTTAGTGGAACTTGCGCTGCCAATAGTTCTCCTAATGTACCTCCTTTTAATGGACCTCCGCCTTTCATTGGTGGTAATTTCTCCTGGTCACCCACCAATTCTACTATTTCTACTCTTTGCTTGTTTCATGATTCACTTTTTGAGGCTGGTTATGCCATTTTTGTATATGGTAAGGTTCATTATAATGATTCATGTTAGTCAACCCCAAATTATTTTAGGACTAAGGCCTTGTTGTTGTTGTTGTTGTTGGAAGAAATAACATTTGTAAGTATACTTTGAATTTTGTTAGCCTGAAGAAATTACCTACAAGCAGAACATAAAACACAAAAGTACACAAGAAGAGCAAAAGAAGTGCCAATATACTAGTAGCTAACTAGCAAAAAATATCTGTAGAGTTTGGATCATTTCTAGCAAGACTAGCAACACAAGTCCTGCATGACTGGAATCACCGGCAATTGCTTTCATATGCTCCATTTTCAAGTACTGCTGTATGTTGAAGTATTATAGTTCATTACAATAAACTGTCTAAACATGTTCAGACAGCCTGCTTTGTGTTCTAGTTCGCTCAGGACTCAGGAGCAAGCTTGATGATTGAATTGATAGGCAATCAGGCAGTATTGATAGGCAATTAGGCAGTTGGGAAGACATTGTCTTATTTATAGTCCCTGGAGAAAAGTTCGGATTCTGCAGAGTCTTGAGTTACAGTTTTTGAACTCTTCTGTCTCAAACATTAACTTGTCAAATGTCAACCATGAACCCCAACTAATCTGGGTTTAAAATCTACGAAGGCGGCATTTATTGTTCAATCTCCAATTGCATGTCATATGATATCTTCAAATACAATACTCCGTACTTGGCAAGTGTTTGGTCAGATACTCTGTATACTTGCGTTCTTTTTATGTATTTTAAAAATGCAAATTTCTGTTATTCTGTACTACAGAAATAGACTCAGTGATACCAAGAAGTTCAGGATATAAGGCATCAATAGTTACACAGACAAGAGATGGCAAGATTTGACGCTGCATGTTAAAGTTACAGCTAATCACCCTAAATAAATCTATTTTTCGATGCTTAATGAAAGAAAGTCGACTGTTATAATCACCCTATCTTATAGCACTATATATTGTATGTTTAACAGGGCTAATAGCCCGGAAAATAAAATATGTACTTGTATCTTGCTCAAAAACCAAACCAGTGTAACAAATTACGTAGGCAATGCTAAACAAAAAACAATTCTGAGTACATAATTAAGCCAATAAATTTCAGGTACTCAGAGAACATGCTTCATTTAGAAATGGAGTGATTTTGATATTTCAATTCAATCAGCATCACCATAAAGTAGCTAACCTAAAAGGGGATGAACAAAGATAATTACCTACAAAGAACCAAAAGAAAGCTTTACATCCAAAAACTCTAACCATAACTGAAGAATATGATTTTATAAACAAAATCATAATAGATCAATTTTGTGAGACAATATTGATCAAATCCTCAAATACTCAGATGTTCTTCCCTTGGCAAGCTCTGAACAGTGTCAGACCATCTTCCCGGTGAATGGTCACTGCTGTTATTCGATGATACATGTGCTTCTGCCCTGGTATCTCTTATCATCCTCAAAATCTCTTTCATCTGAGGTCGACTATCAGGATTAACAGCAACACAAATCATTGCAATATTCAAAAGAGCACTCAATTTCTCCTCGGACGTCTCATTTCCTGAACTACCTTCACCAGACTCAGTCTCCTCTTCTCTCACGGACCTAACCCATTTAGGAATGTCGGCCCCATGCTCTTGAACAAGGTCTTGATATGGGGTTTTGCCTGTCATTAGCTCTAGTAGTAGAACCCCAAAGCTGTATATATCGGCTTGCTGTGTTGGCAATCTTCTGCTGTCTCTGCATTCAGGAGCTCTGTAGAAAAGGGATGAGGCACTAGGTTCTTCTGTGGATTCTGGATTTCTGAATGACTGAAGTCCATAATCTGTCAGGCACGACTCAAAGTCTGATCCAAGGAGGACATTTGAGGATTTCAAGTTCCCGTGGACTAGTTCAAAGTTTTGATGGATGTAAAGAAGCCCGGTTGCCAGGTCTTCAGCAATTTTAAGGCAAGATGTCCAATGTAGTGGCTTTCCACCTCCAGAAGGTCTATTACCTGATAACATGCAACGAGTCAACTCAGCAACGCAACATCGTTACTAAGACAAATACAACCTCATGTGAACAAGTATAATACAGCAATGACTTACTTCTTAGGAACAAAATGCAATATCAGAATATTTCTAAAAATTTATAGACTAAAGTTAGCTTAGATACCATGAGATAACGCTAACACCACTTAAATATTAATATTATCATGTTAAAATATCAGTTTGAATACCAATGCAGTATCTAACAAGTTCCTGAATACTATACTAAACTTTCAAAGACGCCTGGTTTCAAATAGAGGAGTAACATGCTCCTAAATCTGAAACGTTTATCGTATAGGCTTAGCTTCTTCATAATTATGCAAAAAAAGATGTAGCTAGCAAAGTGTTTCGGGGTTATTTTCGAATCCCTCGGGATACTGGTCTTGAACACGGCCGGATGGATGCGGACACCTGCAAAATAACGAATATTCCGTTTGACGGAATATTCGCCCCCAACAATCAAGTTAGTGACCGGAAACGGAATAAATGTAGAGAGAGAAAGTAGAGAGAAGTTGGAGCTTTTCGTGCTCTTAGAAGGATATGTCTTAATCCAAACTCCTATCATAAATGATTGGGGTATTTATAGAGGTGGGAAAGTGTGCCCTCTAGGGTTTGATAACTTAGGATGGCGTGCTCTGATTGCACCTAGGTGAAGGCACGTGTCCATATAGGGCGCCGTTTTGCGGCTTTCTTGGGATTTGGGCCTTCTAATGTAAGGAGGCCCTTTTCTCTCATTTCAGGTGCTCTTTATGCTTGACACGTGTCATCTTCCTATAGGGACACGTGTCGCCCTTTAATTGAGCCACGTGTCTCTATGGGATTAGGTCACGTATTGGGGTATTTTTACCCTAAACATTTGCCTCTCAGAAGGGGTGACTCGTACCATACGGGCCGCCTCCTCTGATCTTTTACTCGTCCGGTGTCGTTCGAGTGTCGGCCAGACGAAGCATTATCATTGGTGGAAGACAGATGTTACCGTCCGTCCATCAGAGGGATTTCTCCTTTGGGCTGTCTGCCTTGTTTAGTCCACCTGATTTTACTTAATAGACTTTGAGTCTTAAAATCGGGCGTACAAGTTGTGCCGACTGGCTTGAGCGGGACACCTGTCATTCGTATTTAGCGGAATGACGGTTCGAATTCCGCTGACCTGGCCGCCTATTTTGACGCGCCGTCAGTATGTCTGTACCTTTTCCCGTCTTATATGATGGAGCGGTTTTTTAACTGTTCAGCTTCTAGGTTAAATTTTTTCAATAATTCTCGTTTGAACTTCTAGGCGGGAAAGATGGTTTTACCATTTTACCCTCATGAATTTGATCTATAAATAGAAGTTGTTTGACTTCATTTTGATACTTTGGAAACTTGACAATTCTAGAGAGAAGTTAGAGCTTTAGAGAAAGAAAGTTATTTTCCTCCCAAATCTTCGAGAGCTCCGCCGTGTTCCTTGAGGTTGCCAGTTAGGTTTTTGAGTTTTTCGGTCAACCTTTAAGATCTTCAAAGACTTTCAAACTTTTCTACAGAGGTAACCGCCTGCTCTTCTTTACTTCTTCCCTTTTTTTTTACTTGTTTTATTTTTATAAACACGAACTGGCACAACACTCGGCTTCGTCCGTTTCTCCTCATGAGGCCGGCCGTTCGCCTGTGAGGAGTCTAGAGTGGACGGGAACGATTCCTCCGCTCTATGGAGTGGGTCCATTTTTAGTGCGTACCAACTCACCCCCACCTATTCTTCGCTTTCCCTGCAGTCGAGCATGGCACGTACGAGACAGACGTACAAAAAAGAGGCCGCCAAAAACCCAGACGGCAGTATGGTAGACCCTTTAGTCCCCTACGATCCGAGTAACACGGATGTGGAGGACACAAATACTACTGTTAGTGGTAGTGAATGCTCCGTGGTCGAAGTGACCACCTCTTTTGAAGAGCGCCAAAATCGCCAAAATTAACAAGGCACTTCTTCCACCATGGAAGCGTCCGGGCAAAATCCAGAACCACGCTTCTCACAATTCACCAACTCGGTCTTGATGCCGTCCGAGCTGCCATCTTCCGGAAGCCATCCTTCCTCTTCTCAGGCGGACACTCGGGCGTCCGTCTAAAATCCTCAACAAACCCCAATCCAAACTACCAGGTCGGCCAGGCCTAGAACTGGCATTCATATTGCTGAACCGGCCAACCTGCCCCCTCGCAGCGCTCCTCCTTCTGAAAACCAGGCGAACACTAGGGGAAGGAAAGATAAAGGCAAGAGGCCCTTGGTGCCTTAAGAAACCATTGTTTCTGGAGGCGGCCAGGGCTCCAAGGGAGGGAGCTCGGCCGAAGCGGCTGAGTTGGACATAGTGTTGTCCTCTGAATTTGGGGTCGCTCCTCAAGCTGAAGGAGAGGCTAAGAACCCGGACGGAGGAACCAAACGCTGATAATTTCAAGGACTCGTACGTCTGTACGGTTGGCAACACTGCCTTGATCTTCCTGCACTTAAAGTATAAAGAGTTCAAGAAGTTCTTCCACATGGGAAAAGGCTACGAAATCGTAGCACCCACTCGGTCTTACTGAGTAGCCGCCTGGGAGAGCAAGAGGCAGCTGAAGAAATGCTTCAGCGTCTACTGCGCTGCTTTAGAAGTGGGCCTTTGCTTCCCTCTTCATCCGTTCGTCCAGGAGCTCCTGGGCGAATACAACATTGCTATCTTCCAGCTGGAAACAGCTGGCTAAACATTTTTGGCTATCTGATGACGTGCCTTCAGCAAGGCTTCAAACCGGACGTCCCAGTTTTTTGTGATATGCATTCCATGGTCCGCCTGGATGCTGGCACGGACCGGTGGTTTATTCTGAGCACGCAGAAAGATTATGTGGTGGTGATGGATAGGCCGTCCAAGTGGCGAGACTAGAAGCACCGATTCTATCGCATTAAGATAATGGATGAAAAGTTTAACTTGCGGATGAATCGGTTCAATGCCAATCGAATTCAGCTCGACCGCGGGCAACATAGACCCAGCAAGCCGCCCGTCCACCCTCACTACATGCACTAACTGGACTACTTCGGAATCAAAAAGGTAGTCAGGGATGGAAAGACAGTGACTGTGCCGCTCAATTAGATTCCCCTGGCCGTGTGGCTAAGGAACCCAGTTTTCATGTCGGCCTGTGGCTTATACCAGAACTACCCTCAAGGTGGAACCTTGTGACTTAGCCGTTCGAATGCTATTTGTAACATAAAAATATTCTAACATTTTTTCCTCATTTTTCTTCCTCAGAAGTAGCCCTTGGAATGCAGGATCCGGAGCAGAAGGGGGAGGTTGACATGTCCGAACTGGACTTAGTCCGGTACAAACTCCGCCAACAGCAGCAAGACCAGGCTAAGGAGGTACTGACAATCCGTTCTTCTTTTTTTTTTTTTTTTAATGCCGAGTTGGTGTGATGGAGGAAGAGTCCTTCCCCATTTCACTCGAACACAATTCATCTTGTTTTGAGGCCGAGTTTTTAGGAAAGATATGCTATCTGATTTCACTCAGACACTGTCTTTTATCTAAGTTTTTCGAGTTGATTGGTTGGTAAGGTGTTCCTTCTCAACTTTACTCGGATACTTGTTCATTTCATCTGACTTTATCCTGTTTCTTTCAGGCGGCCACTCCTACTCCCTAGTCGAAGAGAAAGCAGCCGGCTTTTGCTTCCAAGGACGGCCAGTCGTCCAAAGCCAGAAAGACAACAGCCTCAAAGGCTAAGTCTTCCACCAAAGCAGCCAAAGTCACGCCGCAAACTGCTTCGAAGCAGTCTGAAGGAGAGCCACCCTAGCTGTCACCTAGTGGGGTCTCCAAGCCCTTGGATCCGCAAACTGAGGCGGTCCACGATGAGTTCGTCCATGTGAACGATGGGGGTAAGTCGTCCCCAGCAAAAACGACCGGCAACTCAGCCTCGACTCCGCATGTCGAGGTAGTAGATAAATTTGAGTGGCAGAATTAATTTTAGGAAAGGGAAAGCTATCATTAGGACATGCCTTGTTGAGGTCGATGTAGTCTACGCACATTCTCCAAGTTCCATTCGGCTTCTTAACAAGGACAACATTTGCTACCCAATCAGGATAGTGACATTGCCGAATAAAACAGGCGTCCAGCAGCTTTTAAACTTCAGCTGCGACCGCCTGATTCCTTTCTTCACCATGGTTTCTCTTTTTCTGCCGAACAGGCTTCACAGCCAGCTTGTGAATAGCTAAGTCCAGGCTGATACCCGGCATCTCATGAACTTCGAAAGCAAACACATCTCTAAATTCTCTTAACAAATTCACCAAGTCATCTCCAAGCAAACCTATGGCTATAGTGCCCACTATGACCGTCCGATCAAGCTCGTCTAGGTCAAGCACTATGTCCGTATGATCGCCGGCCAGCTATGGCCTTAACTCTTCTGGCCGACCGACGGTCATTAGCTGCTATGCTTGCTCTTTCTTAATCAACTTGCGCTTCTAGCCGACCTGGTATGCTTGGAGTGACCATTCTTCGGAATTTCGCTCGGACGCTTTCCTATGTCCGCGCACTGTTGGTCTTACGGCCACCTGATTGCATTCTTTCACAATTTTCTGATTTTCCTGAAGGGAACCTATCTTTCCGTTCGACCGTTCAAAATTCATCAGCATTAGATAAAGGGCAATTACTGCCTTAGCTGATGTCAAAGTTGGGCGGCCAATGATAACATTATAGCCCGTAAGCTCTTTAACAACTAGGAAGCGGACGATCATGTCCCTTCCCTCTCCCTTTTCCCCAAATCGGACGAGCAGGTCTATCCGTCGGACCAGGTGAATGATACTCCCACCGAACCCAACCAATGGGTGGGAGATATCTTTCAGGGCATCCTCTGAAAAATTCAAATTCTTCAGACAAGCTAAACTGATTATGTCAGAGCTGCCTGTGTCTATTAGCACTCGTCCAACCTTCAAATTGGCAACTTTCAAGATGAACACCATGGGGTCATTGTGAGGGGCTTTGATATTGCC